GCGCGCCCGGCACCCGCTCGCGGCGGCAGCCGCGGCTTGGTTCGGCGCGGTCTCGTGGCAGCCGGCCCGCTGGCCAAACGCGGCGCGCCAGTCGGCGGTTCAAAGCTGGGGCCCTGAAGGGTGGTGTCCCAAGGATGGGAAGGGGTCCAAGGGTGGATTCACTTAGAGAAGAGAGAAAACGCGATACGCATACACTTTTGGCGCTCCGCGCAGATCTCTTGGATCCGCGCTGGGCCCCCCCCTCCCATCTTCGTCACTATCATGTTATAATTATTGTTATTCTTCTTCTTCTTCCTCTTCTTCTTCTTCTTCTTCTTCTTCTTCTTTTTCTCATCATTATTATTGTCTGTTATTACCATTATCGTTATCATTATTATGATTAGTATTATTATTATTGTTATTATTATTATTATTATTATTATTAGTATGATTATTATTATTATTTGTCTCTTCTTCTTCTTCATCATCATCTTCTTCTTCATCATCATCATCTTCTTCTTCATTTTCTTCTTCATTTTCTTCTTCATTTTCTTCTTCATCTTCTCTTCTTCTACTTCTATCCATATAGGTGGAGCCACCCCTGGATCCCTCCACATGCTCCGGGCCCCACCCCTCCGGACCCTATCTTGGAGCCGCCGAGCCAGGGGGCCTTCCTCGGGCCGGCACCCGCGCGGCCCGCGCGCGCACCGCGCAGCGGCAGCGGCGGCGGCGCCGCGCAGCCGCGGCCGCGCGGGCGCGGCTGCGGCCGCGCGGCCGGGGAGCCCGGCGGCTCGGGTGCCGCGTCTGCGGCGGAGGGCCTGGACCTTAGCGTTGAGTCGGGCGTGTCCCTCTACAAGAGGAAAATTCAGAAATAGGAAAAATAGTCAGGGACGATTTTTCGATTATTTTAAACTATGTTGGCATATTTCTTGACCAAAATCCGCCCGAAATTTTCATCCAAAATCCGCCTGTGGGAGGGCACGCCCGACCTGACCTTAGTAGGCCCCAGAAGCGGCAGGGCCAGTGACCACGAGCACGGAAAAACAACGGTTCACCGAAATGGTTAAAAAGCGGTGCGCCGAGACGGTCTGGGCAGTTTGGGCATTCGAAGGTCGTGCGGAAGCGGTTTGGGACCGGTTTGGATCTCAAGATTTTGTGATTTGGGCCAGGCCTTCACCAGGGGAGGTGCAAACGGTAAGACAATGGCGCCGGACATGTCAGCACGATTTGCGCCGCAACGTCAACAAAAGTCAGAAACGACAAACGTACAACAATTGATTGCCGTGTATTTTCCAGGGCCCACTGAGGCCTGGACGCCGTGGTGGACGGGCTGCTGCTGCGGCTGCGGGGGCTGGCCGAGTCGGACTTCGGCGGTAAGGTTTCGGCAGGCGTCGCCCGAACGTGACCACTTACGTTTCAGACCCGACAGGGGCTGAGGTGGCCCAGCACCAGTTCCTTCGGTGGCAAATCATGGGAGCCCAGTATACCCTCTTAATTCCGTCTTTAGCGTCGATTGGCGTCAATCAGCGCCTGGGCGTCGATGAGATAGCGCCGCTTTAGCGTCGGTTGGCCTCGATCAGCGTCGATTTAGCGTCGGTTAGCGTCGATCCGCAGGAGCCGACAGGATGGTATGGGAGGCTCCCGTGAGCTGCCACCGAAGGCTCCGTCCAGCAGGGGGGGGGAGAAAGGGGGGCCCGTCGTCGCCACGGCCGGGCGCGGCTCGGGGAGCTGGCCGGTTTCGACCCTGGGAGGGGCCCAGTGGCCGATTTGAGCAGATTTGCGCTCGTCCCCTCCCTCTTGGCCGATTGCGAAGGCCTGACGGCCGGTGCCGCCGACCCTGTTCGCAATGCGCAGCAAGAGATTACGAGGTTGCTCAAGGTCGGCTTGGCTGGAGCCCAGGGGAAGAGGAGTCCCAGGGGGGGGCGTCGTATCTGACCCGGGGGGGGGGTCGCTACCCCCCCCCCCCTCCCGGCGGGGGAGGGATCAAAGGGAAGGGGCTTCCCTTCGACTCAATTACGAGGTTGCTCAAGGTCGGCTTGGCTGGAGCCCAGGGGAAGAGGAGTCCCAGGGGGGGCGTCGTATCTGACCCGGGGGGGGGGTCGCTACCCCCCCCCCCCTCCCGGCGGGGGAGGGATCAAAGGGAAGGGGCTTCCCTTCGACTCAATTACGAGGTTGCTCAAGGTCGGCATGGCTGGAGCCCAGGGGAAGAGGTCTCCCAGGGAAAGGGAAGGACAGAGACGACGAGTACAAAGAATGACGGAGATGACGGCTCGAACGGAAAAGCCCCTCACACACGCCGACAGGGTCGGCGGAAGGGGTTGCTCAAGGTCGGCTTGGCTGGAGCCCAGGGGAAGAGGAGTCCCAGGGGGGGGCGTCGTATCTGACCCGGGGGGGGGGTCGACACCCCCCCCCTTTCCCGGCGGGGGAGGGATCAAAGGGAAGGGGCTTCCCTTCGACTCAATTACGAGGTTGCTCAAGGTCGGCTTGGCTGGAGCCCAGGGGAAGAGGAGTCCCAGGGGGGGGCGTCGTATCTGACCCGGGGGGGGGTCGACACCCCCCCCCCCCTCCCGGCGGGGGAGGGATCAAAGGGAAGGGGCTTCCCTTCGACTCAATTACGAGGTTGCTCAAGGTCGGCTTGGCTGGAGCCCAGGGAAGAGGAGTCCCAGGGGGGGCGTCGTAATCTGACCCGGGGGGGGGGTTCGACCCCCACCCCCCCCCCCCTCCCGGCGGGGGAGGGATCAAAGGGACGGGCTTCCCTTCGACTCAATTACGATGTTGCTCAAGTCCGGCTTGGCTGGAGCCGGGAAGAGGGGAAAGTCCCAGATGGGGGGCGTCGTAATCTGACCCTGGGGGGGGTCGACAACCACCCCCCCCCCCTCCCGCGGGGAGGGATCAAAGTGGAAGGGGCTTCCCTTTCGGACTCAATTACAAGTTGCTCAGGTCGGCTTTGGCTGAGCCCAGGGGTTGCTCACGGTCGCTTGGCTGGAGCCCAGGGGTAAAGAGGACTCCAGGGGGGAGCGTCGTTATCTGACCCGGGGGGGGGGTCGATACCCCCCCCCCCCTCCCGGCGGGGAAGGGATCAAAGGGAAGGGGCTTCCCTTCGACTGAATTACGACGTTGCTCAAGGTCGGCTTGGCTCGAGCGGCTCGGGCGCGGCTCGGGCGGCGGGGGCGCAGGACAGAGACGACGAGTACAAAGAATAACGGAGATGACGGCTCGAACGGAAAGCCCCTCACACCACACACGCCGACAGTGTCTCTTATTTTCTCAGCAACCCATCCTAACAACTCGCAGACCCCCTGGCCCCTTCCGACTTGCAGTCGAACCCGATGCAAACCGGTAATACTACGTGAGTGTGGTGGTGTGTGTGTGTTTGTGTGCGTGTGCGTGTGCGTGTGCGTGTGTGTGTGTGTGTGTGTGTGTGTGTGTGTGTGTGTGTGTGTGTGTGCGTGTGCGTGCGTGTGCGTGTGCGTGTGCGCGCGCGTGTGTGTGTGTGTGTGTGTGTGTGTGTGTGTGTGTGTGTGCGTCGGTATGGGCCCCCCGCCCCGGGGGAAAGGCAAGTGTCCTGCCGACACGTCCTCGCCCAGCAACGATCACGCTCGCCAGCGTTGGTCCGCCTCAAGCAGCCACCGTGATGGCTCCTCCATGGCTGGCACTCCGCCTCGGCCCGTTCTGAGTCCTTTTGTCCACGGGGCTGGCAGTGGCCTTCCTGGCCTACCGCCTCCCTCTCGCCCTGTTCCCGCGCGGCTCTTCTTTCGCAGCAGTGCACCTATTCGGTGCCCCCCCCCCGCATGCCTCCAGCTTGTGCTCGGGGCTGCGCTTCCTCTCGCCGCCTGACCCTGGTCCTGCGGCTGCCGCCTCCGCGTGCTCCCCCTTCGCCCTTCGCCGCCGCGCTGCACCTATTCGGTGCCCCCCTCCTCGCGGGCCCCTCGCTACCGCCTGGGGCGTCGCCTCTGTGCGGCCCCACCTGCCGCCGCCAAGGCCCGGCCACCCTTCCTGGGGACGGCCGCCGCGTACGCCTCGGTGGGCTGGACTTGCCGCCCGCCGTTGGCCCCTGGGCTCCCCCCAACTCCTACCTGGAAGGTGTCCTGCCTTGCCGCTGCACCCCCCTGCTTTGGCCGGGGGTTCGCCGGCCTTCTGCAGGTTTTGCCCAGGCTTCGCCTGTGGCACCCTCCTCCGCTTTGCCGCGCCCCGTGCCGGCCGGGTGACCTTGGCTGCCTCTTGCCTGGCCCCCCCCCGCTCGCCTGGTTTTCAGGCGGGCCTCTCGACCATGCGCCAGTCTTTCGGTGGGTGGGTTGCTGCCGCGCTGCCGTGGCGCCTTGCATTGCCCTCTCCCCCCCCCGCGCCTCGAGGGTCACCAGATCTCGGCGCCCGCCCGCCCGCCTGCTGGTGCTCCCAGCTCCACGCGCCGCTCCCCTGATGGCGTGGCTCCGCCTCTTCGTCCCGTGTCCTTCGCCTTCGCGCCGGCCCGCGCCTGCCGCGCTCAGTGCAGGGCGCTCGTGGCAGCCTGCGCTCCGCCCTTCACGCCTCCCGCCGCGCCTCGCAGGTCATCTGATCTCGGGGCCTCGCCCCTCCGCGGGGTTCGCCTGCTCCGCCGGCTGCCCCATCCTTGTGGCGACCGCATCCACACGTGACACGCTTTTCTCCTCGCAGCCGCTTGCTGCCCGTCCGATGTCGGCCCCCACGGACTCCGTCAAGGCTGGTCGTCTCGACTGGTCTGGTCTTGATGCCTGCCCATGTGGTGTCTGCTCCCCCATCTGGCTCTGCCTGGCCGCCGCTGGGCTGCCACCCCCCTAGCTGCTGCCTTGCGCCGCTGCTGCCCCCCCCCCTGGCGCTGCCTCCGCCGCAGCCGGCGACGTGCCTGAGCGGGCCCGGCTTCCTCTCTTCCCGTCGCGCCAGGGTCTCCGCCTCTCCTCACGTGCACTGCGGCCCAATTTGCGTGAAGCGCGCCCCGCTGATGCCCGATCGCCGGAGCAGTCACCCTTTGCCCAGCCGCCGACGCAAAAAGTGTGTGTGTGTGTGTGTGTGTGCGTCGGTGCCTCAGGGGTGACGCGCGCGCCCTCTCGGGAATCTCACGTCATGGGCTTGGCGGAGGGCGCATGCTATGATGTGTTTGCATGTATGCTCGGTTCGAACGTCCGCCTCCGAAGGTGCGCATGGTTCTAACACGCCCCCCTGCGCCCTTCTCAGGGGAGCGAGGGGATGCCCCCTCCTCATGCTTCCTCCTCCTCCTCCTTCTCCTCCTTCTCCTCCTCCTCGTTCTACTAAGGGGCGCCGGGCGCATAGTTCTAGAATGTCTCCCCTGCGTTCTTCTCAGGGGAGCAGGGGGTCATGACGGTGATGCGCTCCGGGATCTGCAAGGTTTCCCGCGTTTTCCCGCGCTCGGCTCCACAAGCGAGGGGGCCGCTGTTTGGCGTCAGCTGTGGAAGCATGGTGTCCGCTCCCATCTTCTTCCCCAGCGAAAAAACAAACGAGGGGGCCGCTAGAGCGATCCAGACTCTTGGAGCGTATCCTGTGCCTCCGAGCCGATCGCACCATCGCGTCGTTCTCGTCCCGAAGGTAGCCGAGCTCTTCGGCGAGGAGCGCTTCGAGAGCGTGAAGACGTCGGCGCTCGCAGTCCTCTTCGCGGTGGTGCCAGAGGCTGGATGTTCGTTTGGGGGTCCTTCCTGGGGCCGACCCAGCGGATCTGTTCGATTGTAGTTCGCCTCCAGCTCGACTCAAGTTCGACACAAGCTCGACTCAAGTCGACGGACGTGCGACGCATCACCCACGCACGAGTGGAGCGCGTGGCTCCAAGAAGGTCCCCAGAAAGAGCAACTAACAGAGGCCATCGGCGGCTTGCTGGACCCGGACCGCCTGACGCCGCGCTGGGAGCTCCAGCTGGACGCCCTCGCCCTGCAGGCAGTGCTGTTCGGCCTCGTCTATCGCTACGCGGTGCGCGAGGGCGACGACAATCCGATGCAGCGCATGGGCGTGCTGGCCGCCTTCGCCGTGCCTCGCGCGCTGTTCCTGGTGGCGCCGCCCCCAGTCGAAGAGGCAAAAACGGCATGACCATACACTTTTGGAGCTCAGCCCAGGTTTCTTCGATCGGCGGTGGTGCCCCCCTCCAGAGCGCGCCCTGGGGGCGGCGCCTCCGAGCCCAGCGCCCATCCCAGAAGTCCGCGCGGGGTTCCGAAAGTGAGTGTGCATGCAGTTTTTTTGGTTCTTTTGCCTGGAGTGCACGGCCGCGCCCCTGAGCTGCGGGGAGCCGCTGGGCTACTTCAGCTGGTCCATGCTGGGGCAGGCCTCAGCATCGTCTACAGTGGAGACCCATGCCAAGAAGCACCCTGCTTGCCTCCAGGGTTCCATGGGCTTCTTGGGTTTCGATGGCTTTCCTGTGGAAGGCGTGCCGCTCCCACACCAAGAATCAATGGACGTCCTGGGGTCTCAGGGTTGGGTTTCTTGTGGAAGGCCTCTTGTGGTCGAGCTCCTACTGTAAGGTTCGGTGAAACTAGGTCCCCCCCACGGGCGCGAAGACGATCGCGCTCCGCGCACGGCGGCTTGGGTTGGAGACAGCACCCTGCTCCAGGGAGGGCCGCGAGAGGGCGGGAGGGGCGCGAAGGTGACCGCGCGGCGTGCATCGCGGGGCGCGAGGCACGGAGGCAGGTGGCCTGAGCTGAGCGATACTCGGCGATAGGCAACTTCTCCACCACCACTACCATAGGTAGGACGGGGACGGGGATGTCCTCCTCCTCCTCCTCCTTCTCTTTCTTTCCTCCTCCTCCTCCTCCTCGTCCTCCTCCTCCTCCTCCTCCTCCTCCTCCTCCTCCTCCTCCCCCTCCTCCCTATTGCTGGGCTGTGGCTTATGTGCCTCACCCCACCGGTAGCCTTCTCACGAGGAGCTTTCGAGGAATGCCTGACCTGACCTGACCTCCCAATGGCAGTGGTGGTGGGAAGTCGACCCATCACTCGAGGCCGCCAAGCACCTGCTCATCGGCGGGGCGACGCTCGGCGCGGCCCTCTACGGCCTCGAGCGCGCCTTTGCCGTGGGCCTCGTGCGGCGCTTCCGCGGCGGCTCGTGAGCGACCGCGCCGTGCGCAGCGCCGCGCTTCTTCGCACGCCGAGGTCCCCGCGAGAAGCCGGTGCGCCTTTTCGGGCCCGTGGGCGACGGGGGAGATCGAGTGGAGTAGGAGGCTTGGCATCGCTCGGACGTGTGCATTTTTGTTTGGCGAGGACCTCCGAGGAGCATCCTGGAACATCTAGCAAACAAAAGCACGCACGAAGCCGAAACATGCACGGGGAACGGACGTCCGAGCGATGGCAAGGAGGACGAGGAAGAGGGAGAGCAGGAGGAGCCAAGCTAGGTGCGCTCGCGCCTCATCGGACATCCTTTCCCTCGTTCCCATCCCTTCCCATTGCGCTGATTTTCATTCTCCGCGGACGCATGTAATGGCCGACTTGCGCCTCCCACAGAAAGACCACTTCGTGGTATGCGCAATCGGAAAAAGGGAGCTGCGTGCACAGGAGGAGGCGGATGATGATGATGATGATGATGATGATGATGATGATGATGATGATGATGATGATGATGATGATGGTGGTGGTGGTGGTGGTGGTGGTGGTGGTGATGATGATGATGATTATGATGATGATGATGATGATGGTGGTGGTGGTGGTGGTGGTGGTGATGATGATGATGATGATGATGATTATGATGATGATGATGGTGGTGGTGGTGGTGGTGGTGGTGGTGATGATGGTGATGATGATGATGATGATGATGATGATGATGATGATGAGGAGGAGGAGGAGGAGGAGGAGGAGGAGGAAGACGAACAGCAGCAGCAGCAGGAGTTATAGCGGAAGGACAGGGACGAAAAGGAGGACCAGGGGAAGGCGGACGAGGGGAAACGAGTGGGGCGACAATGATGACGAAAGGCTCGGAGTCAGAAGAGTGGCCCGCGCTGGGGCGAGGCGAACATCAGCAGGATCTTGAGCGGAAGGGGGGGGGGAACAGGAGGAGCAGCAGAAGGCGGAGGAGGGAAAACGAGGGGGGGGGGGACCGCAATGAAGCTAGACTCGAATCCAGACAAGTGGCCCGCGCTAGGGCGAGAGCGGCATCTGGAACGACGGGGGTGAAGCGCCGATCCGAAACTCAGCTCCACGCTGCAGCGGGAGCACCCTTTTTAAATGTCGAAGCCACATGGTTCGCGGCAAACCGTGGGAAGAAACCAACTTTTTAAACTCAGTTGGTCAAACCAGCAGCATTCGGATGGGGGCGGGCTACTTTGGGGAGTGAGGAGAGAGGAGAGAAGCAACCATGTTGTGTAATTGTTGATGGGGCAGAGATGGAGGGAGGGAGAGGGAGGGAGGGATATATATATATATATATATATATAGAGAGAGAGAGAGAGAGAGAGAGAGAGAGAGAGAGACGAAGTGTGATATTGATAGGAAGGGAAAGAGAGAGAGAGAGAGAGAGAGAGAGAGAGAGAGAGATGCAGAGAACGAGAGAGAGAGACAGAGAGAGAAATACAATTCTAGACGCTTCGCGTATCCCCACCAGCCCGTCCAGAAACGACGCCCAGGCGAGTAGAGGGTCGTCCTGAGGGGCTTTTCGGCGTCTTGGGTGCCTCGGGGGGGCCTCTGTGGGCCGTTCGGGATCCTCTTTGGGGCCTCCTGGGGGCCTCTTGGGGCCTCTTGGGGCCATCTTGGGGCCTTTGGGGGCCTCCTGGGCGCTTCTTGGGGCCATCTTTGCCCCTTGGGTGCCTCTGGGGGGTCTCTTGGGGCCTCTTGGGGGTCTCTTGGGGGCCTCCTGGGGGCCTCTTGGGGGGCCTCTTGGGGCCATCTTGGGGCCATCCTGCGGCCTCTTGGGACATCCTGGGGGCCTCTTGCGGCCATCGTGGAGGAAATCGATCAAAGAAGAGGGGAGCTCTAATTAGCGCTGCCCCCTCAGAAGGCCAACATGGGGCCAACACCATAGTAAAATCAATGATTTTGGCTTCATCGCCGAGGCTGTTTTGGACGCTCTGACCGCTCCCCGCCCCTCCTGTCCAGGTCAGTGGGGAGGGGGTAGGGGGAGGGGTAAACCCCTCCCCGAAGGGGAAGAGGGATGGGGTGGAAGAGGAAACGCCCTAAACCACCGACGCCCAGAGGGCTGGTGGGATTTTGGAGGACATCGGCCAAGGAAGTGGGGTTCCCTAATTACAGCCCCCCCCCCCAGGAGCTCCAAAAATCGCTTCCTGGACCCCTCTTGGATCGCTCTTGGAGCGCTCGTGGCCGCTCTTGGAGCCATCCTGAGGCTCTCTTGGGCCCCTCTTGGAGCTATCCTGAGCCATCTTGGAGCCATCTTGACGCGTCGGATGTGCATCGCAAGCGAAGAAGTGAGAACACCAAAAACATTGATTTCCCCAGGGTTTTGAAGCATTTTGGCCTCTTGGATGCATCCTAATGATGCTCTTGTGGGCACTTGGAACCGTCTTGGGGAGTTGTTGGAGCGTCTTGGAACATCACGGGGACCATCTTGAGGCATCTTGCGCTATCTTGAGCCATCTTGGAGGTCATCTTGAGCTCCCTGAGGTCCCCTTGGAGCCGTGTTGGGCCGTCTTGGACGCTCTAACTACCCGCGGCCCCCCCTGTCCAGGTCAGTGGGGAGGGGGTAGGGGGAGGGGTAAACCCCTCCCCGAAGGGGAAGAGGGATGGGGTGGAAGAGGGAACGCTCTAAACCACCGACGCCCAGCGGGCTGGTGGGATTAACGAGAGAAGCCTATACGACCACCCTTCGGGTAATAAGGAGGTTGGGGGTGAGGAACCAACACCTCACACAATCGATCTCACGAGCGAACTTTCTATCGATCTCACTGTCAGTCTGACTCAACGGGACACCACGGGACACCACGGGACACCACGGGACACCTGTCGATCTCACTATCGATCTCACTTTTTGGGACACCACGGGAAACCACGGGACACCATATCGATCTCAATACCGATCTCACTATCGATCTCACCCTCGATCTCACTCAACGGGACACCACGGGACACCACGGGACACCACGGGACACTTGTCGATCTCACTATCGATCTCAATATCGATCTCACTCAACGGGACACCACGGGACACCATGGGACACCACGGGACACCACGGGACACCACGGGACACCACGGGACACCACGGGACACCTGTCGATCTCACTATCGATCTCACTTTTTGGGACACCACGGGACACCACGGGACACCATATCGATCTCAATACCGATCTCACTATCGATCTCACCCTCGATCTCACTCAACGGGACACCACGGGACACCACGGGACACCACGGGACACTTGTCGATCTCACTATCGATCTCAATATCGATCTCACTCAACGGGACACCACGGGACACCACGGGACACCACGGGACACCGCGGGACACCTCTCGATCTCACTATCGGTCTCACTATCGATCTCATTATCGATCTCACTCAACGGGACAGCATAGGACACCACGGGACACCACGGGACACCACGGGACACTTGTCGATCCCACTATCGTTCTCCCTATCGATCTCACTCAACGGGGACACCACGGGACACCTCGGGGCACCACATCGATCTCACTATCGATCTCACTATCGATATCACTTTTCGGGACACCACGGGACACCACGGGACACCTCGGGGCACCACATCGACTCCAGTATCGATCTCAGTATCGATCTCACTATCGATCTCACTCAACGGGGCACCACGGGACACCACGGGACACCACGGGACACCACGGGACACCACGGGACACCACGGGACACGACGGGACACCGCGGGACACCGCGGGACACTGCGAGCCACCGCCGGACGGACGGACGGATAATCATTTGTCTTGATTTCGCCCTAGCAACGGCGGACACCACGGGACACCATGGGAAACCACGGGACACCGTGGGACACCGCGAGCCTCCGCCGGACGGACGGACGGAGTAGAAACATTTGTCTTGACCTCGCCTAAGCAACGACTGACACAATGGGACACCACGGGACACAGCGGGACACCGCTAGGGCCACCGCCGGACGGACGGACGGAGGAGAAACATTTGTCTTGATTTCGCCCTGGCAACGGCGGGTTCATTCTTCTCGCGCGCCCACGCAGATTCGCCGCGCCCGCACGCACGGCACGAACGAAACGAAACGATTTCCGGGTTGGGGGTTTCCGTTCCATTGCGATCTCACCCCCCAACTTCCGATAATCGAGAGAGAGAGAGAGAAAAGAGAGAGAGAGAGAGAGAGAGAGAGAGAGGGAGAGAGAGAGAGAGAGAAAGATAGAGACATGGACATCTGTATATGGTGTGTGTGTGTGTGTGTGTTCGTGTGTATATCTAATGGCCTTCGATCCATCCCGCCACCGTACCTGGGTTGTGGGTCGTAGGTCTCTAGGATGTTCGTTGGGATGTCGCGCGGGGCCTCTTGGGGGCCTCTTGCGCGCAGTTTTGAAACCTCTTGGGGGCCGTTCTGGGGCCTTTTGGTGCATCGTGGGGGCCTCTTGGGGGTCGGGGCAGAGGCTAGGATTTTCGGTTCGTGTTCCCCCTCTTGGGCCCTTTTTGGGGCTGTCTTCGGGCCCTCTTGGGCTGTCTTGGGCGCCTCTGCGGCGTCTGCGGCGCCAGGTTTGGAAGTGCATGCTGGCATGCGCGTTGAAGATGTGCTTGTGCGTGCGTTCTTACACGCGCGCATACGTATACACAGATGAAAAAAAAAGGGCAGGGGGCAACAGACAACGAGAGAGAGAGAGATGGGAACGGGAAAGAAAGAGAGGGACGTAGAGAGAGAGAGAGAGAGAGAGAGGGAGAGAAATAGGCCGAGAGTCAGCAGACAGAGACGGCGGCCGCATAGGGGGCTGTCTTAGATACGCATCTGCAAGTCGTTCTCTGCCGAGGGATCGAACAGCAAAGACAGGGATTGAAGGGAGGGGACAGAAAGAGAGAGAGAGAGAGAGACGGTGGCATGACACTATTTCACACGCGCAGACGTGTGTGCGTGTGTGCAAACTCTGGGGGGGTGGGGGGTGAACATAATCACGGCATGTATGTGTTTGTGTGTATATGTATTTATATATGAAGGGTGTTTGAGTATGTGTTGATGGAGGGCAAACGTAAGTTGCACGCTATTACATGTACAACTATTTGTGTACGCACTTACATGTGCACATCATGTTTGTTCGTTCAGGGATGGGAAGACTTCAGGGCATAAGCCCGCGGATGCCTCCGATCTGTAAACAGAGGTGGATTGTTCAAGTAGGCTGCCATATGTCTGTTTGAAGAATCGTCGGCATGCGCCCCCTGAGATCTTCAATCTTCAATCTTCAAACGGAAGCTCCAGACCCCAAAAGGGCAGGATTCAAAGCGAGAGTTTTCTCAAGAGTCAGCCGCGGGCCGACGTCCTTGTACAGGCGGGGAAACGCGGGGGCTAGACCCTACTAGTGCCATTCTTACGGTGCCGCCGAAAGCTCCAGACTCCTCATGGGCAGGATTTTAAATTCTTCACGCTTCGCGTATCCCCACCAGCC